TCTCTCTCTCTCTCTCTCTCTCTCTCTCTCTCTCTCTCTCTCTCTCTTTCTCTCTCACATTTCAAAAGGCAACTTTGTAACAAGGTCTTCTAATTCTGGGTGTGTGATCCTGGAGAGTGTTGCAGATCCGGGGACTTGGTGACTGCATCAAAAGGTGACCCAGGGATCAGGTTCTCATCATCTCCTTCTACCAGAGAGTCCCACTGATCAAAGTCTTTATGAAGTCCTATTTAAAAAACAAAAACAAAACAAAACAAAACAAAACAAAAACTTGTCAATATTAAACCGTTGAGTGCCACTAGGTGGCACCATAAGTCACAAATTACAAAATCATTACCGTGATAATAGAATTCTTAGAGGCCAGGTTGCTTTAGAAAATACAGAAGAGCTTAGAAACAAGCAAGATGCTGTCAGTAGCTCCAACTTGCAAGTTCACTCTACGATCCATAGAAGGACTGTTAGCTTTAATGAGTACATGTATGTGATATGATATGATATGCACATACACGTATTAAACAATGCAAGGTGACATAATTCACTTTTTGAAATGTTTCTTTTCAAATTAGTTTACTGCATTGTCTACCAAAAAACAAGTGGAAGCAGCTACAGTGAGACTATGCCAAGTGCATATAAAATGGTTTTGTCCTGAGAACCAAGCAACCTGAGTCGTTGAGAAATGTGCTGATTCTTACCTAAATGCTTTTGTAAGAAAGCCAGAGAAGCTTTGTTGGTGAGGTCGATGGCCACACAAGAGTCTATTTCTCCTTTCAGTGTCAGCTTTTTTCCAATTATTTTGCCAGTTACAAAAGTAAAATCGGCAAAATTCTGGTGCACTGAGCCCCTAAGAGAGAAAGATATTCATAACTCATGTAAGTAGTCAGTACTTAGCTATAAATATAGCTATATATTTACAAAAGTACAAAAAATAGAATCTGACCCCATTAGACAATTCTCTGCAAAATAGGGAAACAAAGTGTGCAATTTGATCACTTTAATGTATCTGGGGAGTCAAAAGCCATTTATTTAAGAATCCTAAAATATTTGTGCCCTGGTTTAAGTTTCTTGTTATGATAAACACTACAACCAAAAGCAACATGGGGAGGAAAGGGTTGACTTCAGTTCCAGATTGCACACAGACCTTCACTGAGGGGAGGCAGGGCAACAACAAGACAGGAGCCATGAGGCAGGAGCTGAAGCAGAGACAGACCGTGAAGAAGTACTGCTTCCTGGCTCGCTCAGCCAGTGCTCTTTTTTTTTTATGGATATTTTATTTATTTACATTTCAGATGTCATCCACTTTCCCCATCCCTCCCCCTTCTTGCTCTTTTTTTCTTTATTAGTATTTTAAGTTGACATACAAAGTGCTAGGTTTTATTACAGCATCCTCATACATGTGTCATTAGAGTTCTGATTTGTTTCCCTCTGCCCCTTCCCTTTCTTCCTCCAGCTAGTTTCCTCATCTGATTTCCTGTCACATGTATTCCATCACCCTCCCTCCTCATCCTTTTTTTTTTATTAGTAACTTTTTTAAAGATGTTAATCAAAGGCTTTATAAGTTTGGTAATGCTCAATAACAAGATGCCCATATAATCAGAAGTGTAACCCAACCTACATATACCAACTATCTTTGACTGGTGGAGACACGTGAACATCTGCCTCCGCGTTCCCCTCCCTCTCTCATCTCCTAGCTCCTCCTCTCCTCCTCTCCTTACTCCTCCTCCTCTTCTTCTCCTTACTCCTCCCACCTTAACTCCTCCCACCTTAGCTCCTCCCATATATCACCCTTCCTGTTAAAATAAAACTTTTCTCTCAAAATACAATTAGAACATAACTATACCAATTTGTATCAGTAAGGTACAAGATAGACATAATACCCAGTCCAATATTTTGTTAACTAACCAGAACCTCTGTCATCTCTCCTAACTAAAAGACTTAGTTCTGAACCTGTCAGCCAGTACTCTTAACCACTGAGCCACAGAGTTCTTTTATGTTCACCAAAATAAGAAAAGTAATCAAAACTAAGAAAAAGAGAGAGAAAAGAAAAGGAGAGACATGTGAAAGCAATTTTCTTTCTCTTTTCCTCTTTCTCTTCCTCACTAGCTTGCTGAACTGTATTTAATCTTGAATACTGTAATATGATAGTTGTCGTGATGACTGTCATGACATTGGGTGACTATCGAGAGGTTTGCACATAGAATCTGCATGACTGGATGGAGGAATAGTCCCCATCAAAGCAGGATGGTACAAGGTTTTGTTATAGTATAGAGAACGGATCACACTTAACAAAACAAATTGTTTATTTCTATAATTTTTTTCCAGTAAATGTCTCCTGATCACAACTGGCCATAACTAAAACTATGAAAAGAGAAAGTAGAAACCCAAACTATGGACAAAGGGGAACTATTCTAAGTAAATCCTTTTTGCCTTTCCTACCTCCCCCGCCCCCCTGGCTCCTGAACTAACCAGGTTCTAAAGAGCAGAAAGATGAGTTCTATTATTGCTTTAAAGTCTTTTAAGTAGTTTTTTTTTTCATTTGTGTGTGCATGCGTGAGTGTGCATTTGCTGGCAGAGGCCAGAAAAGGTCATTGGATCCCCTGGAGCTGGAGATGCAGACCTTCGTGAGCAATCTAACATGGGAGATGGGATCCAAAACCCAGTCCTCTGCAAGAGCAGCTACTGCTCTTAACTGCTGGGCCTCTCACTCTCCATCCATTTTGAATAATCTTGCTGTTTGGAGCCATGATAGGGTATAAGCACATGGTTATTATGCAGGGCATTCCTTCACGGCGTTGTGGGATTTATAAACTCAACCATTGTTCCAACAGGTAGACATGAGTGTTCTCACCTTTTCTTTAAAGACTTTACATGGCCTACAGATGAACTGGTGTCCCTCAGTACTGTATGTATTGATGTTCAGATGAAAGTAGTCAATACCTAGCTATATATATCAAACTTCAAACATAAGCACTGTGTAATTAACAGCACCCAAAAGTGTTTTCCTTTAAGACTGGGGCTGGAGAGACGGCTCTGTGTTTAAGAGCACTTGCTGTTCTTGCAGAGGACCTAGATTTAACTCTCAGCTCACATCCTTCCGTAACTCCATTTCCAGGGGTTGCTGACACCCTCTTCTGGCCTCCACAAACACTGTGCACTCTTGGTGCACATAGAGACAAGCAGGCAAAACACTTATATGTATCACACCAAAAAAAGAAAAAGGGCTGGGGGGGGCGGGGCAGAAGGCATCCCAGAGGACTCTGGGCCAGTGCCACTAGGATGAGCAAATATATGGTGGAGATATAGGGAGAGAGAAAAATGGAATGATTGTGAGGTATGAAGAGAGGCAGAAGTGGGGACTCGAGGGTGGTAAGGAACAGCCAGGTGTGAGTGGCCTACGCTGCCACCTGAGGCCATGGTGGGGGTCCCAGCCCAAGCTGCCACCAGAACCATGTCTGGGTTGGTGGTTCTGCAGCAGCATGGGTCTGTGTTCATGGCCCATGTGGACACAAAAGGCCATGTAGTCATTCCTGGTCTAGGCTGCCACCTAGAGGTCATGTTAATGTATTGAAGACTATGCAGAGCTGCCCCCTCACCAGCTTTGCCACTCAGGAGAGCTGTCCTCACCTCTCGCCTGGGCAGTGTGGTAGAGCTCGCCCTGGTGGCAAGATTACATAGGACAGTCGGAGGGCTGATTAACTCAGCTACCACCCAGGGCCAGATCCGGGGCTTTGAATTGGCTCTTCCTAACATCTGCCCCATCTATGAACTGCTGGAGTGCATGAAGGGGCGGGTCCCGCAGAACCAAAGCTGCAGGATCTCCATCACACAGGGCAACAACGGGATATCCAAGAGGCATCCTGATGAGAAACCAGTATTAATAGTATAGCAGGGGCCAGAGGCCTTGAGCTGGACCAGTGACTCATTGCAATGAACATTCACAAGGAAAGTTGTTTGGGCAGAAGATACACTGTGTGACACACTGCCAAACAACGCAGCTTCCACAGTGAGATTTTTTAAATTTATTTTTATTTTTGGGGAGGAACAGGTAGGGGAGGTTGCAAGGACAGAGAACAGATATGGGGGGTCAGAGAGACTGAATGGGATTGGGGTGCATAGTGTGAAAATCACAAAGAAGCAAGAAAAGTTTAAAAATTAAGGCAATCGATTATATTTTGGTAAGCTTTTCATGGCTAGCATGGTCTTTGCATAGTACCAAGAAATCAACAGCCAACATTTGTAACATTGGCAATTTACTCACTGAAGCAATGAGTTTTAGCTTGAAAGTTTTGGCCGCTCTAGATTAGTGAACATTTTTTTTTATTCTGAGATTAATATTGAAAGTAATAATATTGAAAGTAGAGTAGGTGCTATTTAAAAATCCAAGCTTTTATGTTACATCCACGGATCTACAAACCTTTCTACTCCAGAGAAGACACAACACAGTAATACATTAGACATGCAAAGTTATAAATGTAATAGGGGGTTGGTCTAGTACTGCTATGTAGTCAAATGCTACTACTGGTACCCAAGATCTAGTTGCCCCTGACGAGATCCTCATGAACACCAAATGATGCTGTATAAACTGGGCCTCCTGAGTTCCCCGATTGGTTAATAAAGATGCTTACAGCCTAGCCTGGGCAGAAGAGAGAGGTGGAGCAAAGGATCCCCGAGCTTGGGACCTCAGGCAGTAACCACAAGGAAGGAAGAGAGAAGGAAGCAGTCACTATGGGGTAGATGGCTCTTGAGTGCATGACCATGAGGGCTGGCCTGATGGAGCAGGAGCAGCACAGACAGAACACGCGGAAAAGAATATCTTGGGAATCTTAATGGGGAAGTAGATAGAACAGCATAGAAGATTGCTATCACCCCAGCTCTAGTGTTTTATGGCTTACTATACATCTAAAAGGTCTCTGAGTCTTTTATTTGAAAACTAAATAGTCTGAAATGGGGTAGAAATCCCTACTAGATATTAAAAGGCAACAAGAGGTCGTCGCATTCCCCCAGGATAACAGTTACCACAAAAAATGAATTTCATTGTACTGTTGAGGTTATTTTTTTATTGTAACTTCCTATGACAGCCTAAAATGTTTACTTGTAACTAATTTTAAATAATCGAAGTTTCTTGTTTTACAAGAAATAAAAAAGCCTGAGAGTACTGAAGACAGACTACATTCTCCGCATTAAAAATCTAAACATCGACACAGCCATTCTGCAATGGCTCCCAGATGTTTCAGATGTTGAGATCACCCTCCAGGCCATGAGCACTTACTTGATTGTAATCATTTTCCTTTCCCTGCCAGGCTGGTAGAAGTTTTTCATTTTTGCGATGTCCTTTGGAGTCTGGAATTCAGCAGAGTTGACAAAGAAGAGAGGCTGTGGGACTCTGGAGTATAGCTCCTCACTCAAAGGATACATCCATGGATCCAGGGCCACCCCACATCTGCAGACATCATTGACAATGGCAGAGAATGACACGTTACAGGCTAGCCAGCAGAAGCATAATATAAGGTTGCTGGGAGAGCTACAATCAGCTTTGTAACACGGCTGAACTGGAATCCTGTGATTACTCTCCTTAGGAATCACAACCTAAAGAAAGTTACAACCTTAAAGCTTTTTCATATTCATTTTGTCATGTGGTTTTTCAAAATACATTTAAATAAGTTGTGATTTCCTCAAAACTGATAAACAGCAAATTTGCCCTATTCTGTGTTTCAAGACAAAGAGGGGGTGGGGGTGGGGGGGGAGGATGGAGAGTAGCATATGCAGATTCTTAGAGAGGCCAGCAGAGGGCGCCAGATCTCTTGGTGCTGGAGTGATTATGAGATGCCTATGTGCTGGAAAATGAATGATAGCGTGTGCTCTTAACTGCTGATTAATCTCTTCAACCTGTTTCAACCTGTTTCCAGAGTCTTGGGTGCCTTACAGCGTGTGTGTTACACCTATTTCAGAGTAACATGATACCCCAGACACATAGGATTATATTTTACAGGGCAAAACACATGAAGCATACTA